GAGGGTCACCCATTTTGAATAATACTGCATGAGTTCCTTGTTTTTCAATGCAGCATAGTATTCCATTGTGCGAATATACCACAGCTTCTCTGTCCATTCATTTGTTGATGGGCACTTGGGTTGTTTCCAACTCCTTGCTATTGTGAACAAAGCTGTGATAAACATGGATGTGCATATATCTGCTTGGATGGTAGTTATGGTCTCTTTAGGGTATATTCCCAGTAGTAGAATTGCTGGGTTAAATGGTATCTCTATTTGCAACTTTTTGAGAAAGCGCCACACTGTTTTCCACAGTGGTTGCACCATTTTTCACTTCTACCAACAGTGAATTAGGGTTCCAGTCTCTCAACAACCTTGCCAGCATTTGTTGCTTGCTGTTCTGTTAAATTTTGCTATTCTGACTGGGGTGAGATGATATCTCATAGTTGTTTTGATGTATCAAGTTTTTAATTATGGTGAAAATGATCCTCATTAATTAGGAAAACCCAATTAATTAATTTGGGATCTAATGAAATAGAGTCTCAATTGCTTAATTTGTTTTGTTAAATTTTGCTAGTCTTACTGGGGTGAGATGATATCTCATAGTTGTCTTGATTTGCATCTCTCTTAGAGCTAGGGATTTTGAACATTTCTTCATGTGCCTGTTGGCCATCTGAATGTCTTCTTTGGTGAAGTGTCTGTTCATATCCTGTATCCATTTTTCAATTGGATTATTTACCTTTATCTTCTTGTGGTGCTCAAGTATTTTATAAATTCTAGATATAAGTCCCTTATCAGACATGTCATTACCTAATGCTTTTTCCCAGTCTGTGGCTTCCTTTTTCACCCTGGTGGAGAAATTTTTGGATGTGCATAGGGATTTGATTCTTAGGAGATTCCATTCATCTATTTTATCTTCTCTTGGTTGTAGATTTTTCACGATACTTGGAAGACTGTTTATGTTGTGGATTAGGACTACTAGAGTTCTTCCAAGCTTTTCTTTAATGAAGTTTATAGTCCTTGGTTTTAGTCCTAGGTCCATGACCTTGAGTTGGTTTTTATATGTGGAGTGAGGTGTGGATCTTGCTTGAGTCTTCTGCAGATAGTTTTCCAATTTTGCCAACACTATTTGTTAAAAAGGCTGTTGTTTCCCCACTTAACTGATTTCATCTCCTTGTCAAAAATCCATTAACCATAAGTAGATGGGCTGATTTCCAGGTTCTCAATTCTATTCCATTGATCTATGTGTCTGTCATTGTACCAGTGCCATGCTGTCTTAACTACCACGGCAGTCTAGTAGGATTTTAAATGAGGGAGTGAGATGCCTCCTACCTTTTTTCTATTTTTAAGGAGTGCTTTGCTTACTTGGGCCTTCTTTCTATTCCAAATGAAGCTGGAGATTGCCTTTTCCATCTTGTTGAAGAATGGGATTGGTATTTGTATTGGGATTGCATTGAACGTGTAAATATGAGTCACAAACGACTCAACGGCACATAACAACAAACAACAACTACCTACTCTTAAGATACACAATCACAGCCAGTAAGGTAAGCCCCCTTCAAATGGAATGTGGTGTTACAGAGTCGATCTAGAAGCCGTAAATTCTGGTCTAAGCCCACTTTCTCTTGTTCAGAAGGAGTCCAGAATGTTCAGATTACCTTCTCTACTTGTAGCACATTCCTAAATTGATTTCAATCTTTCCCTTTGATATCAGTGAGGATCAGTTTTAGTAAACCAGGAAAAAGTATAAATAGAACCAGACACAGGGGCTAGTTGGCACTACAGCCAGGAGCAATATAGAAGGTAAACCTTGTTTGACAAGCCTGGTCTGTATTACACAGCAGCAGCGAAAATGTGGGTGAGATGGGGAGGTGACACATGATATGGGGCTTATGAAGTTTTAATATTCCCAGGATTGCTGCCATAAAATACACCATCAAAACTGCTGAGTTTTTCTGTGAGGTGTTTTGGGTGTGGAGGGGAAAGTAGGAAAAAGAAACACTGGTCTCAAGCTAGGAGAAGGAAAAAAAAAAATCTAAGATAGAAAATGAACTTATTTTAATGGATGAATATAGCATTATAGAAAACAAAATTTTCTGCAGGAAGAAAGAGTTGTTGGATTTTCTTTAACAGATGATCTGCATATGTAGTAACTTCATGTTGCCTGGAATGTCAGCTGTAGGTTCTCCAAGATTTTTCTATTTACCAGATATCTTACCTTCTATAGTATCTGGGCTTCCTGCTAACCTGGTTTGCATATTTCAAAAGGCGTTTGAATCTTACCATAGGGCTGAAGAACATCCAGGAGAAAAACAGAGAAAAGAAATCTTTAGGAAAGTTGCAAATTTGCCTCAGTTCAGGCGGTGAAATCAGCTGGCCCTTCTTATCTGCCTGGGTCTACTTCCCTTCCCCTCCCAGCACATCACCTGGAACTCTGTGGGAGAACAAATATCAGCGTGCAGGGGGCTGAAGTAGAGCAAAACAGGAAACACAGAAGGATGACTGTGGTCATTCCTACCTTCTTGGAAAGAAATCTTTCCAACTGCTGGTGCTAGGAGAACATAATTCCCTTCCTACCCTAAAAGCAAGTGAGAGAATAAGATGTTTGTAAAGTTAATCTAATCCCAGTCTGGAATATGGCATATGTCTGTGACACAGATGTGTGTCATAAATGTCTTAACATTTTTGTTTACTTTTTAAAAACTTTTTATTGTGATTTGAATAAAAAGTTTGCAGGACAGATTGGTATTGTATTCTGTTTAACCATTCATACATATTTCAAGCCCCACGTTGTATCAGCACTATTTACACTCTCTCTCCGTGCTTTTTCCCATTTAACCTTCTTTTCTTTTTTTTTAAATTTTATTAGTTTTAATGAACATTTACAGAGATTTTGGGTTTTCATTCATTCATTGTTGCACTGTTTTCTTCACCCTCCTCCCCAGTTCGTTCTTCTTCCCCCCCACCCATGTCTGTTTTGATTGTCCAATTGCCACAGTGCTTGTCAAAGCCAGTTCTGATTAATCTCCTTTGTC